GGTTCTAAACGAACCATTTCTCCTGAATTTTTTTTAGAAATTTTGACACCAACATTCATTTCACAAAATGGAGAAATAGTGACAGGAAAATATGATCTAGCAAAACCAGTACTAGTAGTCTGTATCATACATACTTTGGGTATATCTGCATTTTCTTTATCTGGTACCTGTAAAACACTTCTAGAAAAATCAATATTAATCTTATTCTCATGTAAAAAATCCCAACCAACTATAAAAGAATGATGTATCCCATCTATGATATAAACATGATAATTAAAAACAGAACCTTTAAATGAAATAGGTAGATTAACTTTTCCTAGCACTTGTAACCTATGTTCACTTACACCTTTAATTGATGTAATATCTGATTTAGACAGTTTGTCAGAAAGGACTAACTTGCTATAAAAATCAAAGCTACAGCAATTGATTTCTGCATCAGTATCAATCAATGCATGTGTTTTTCTGCCATTGATATCAACAATTGAAGTATTTGTCTGCATTGGTTATACCAAATTTACCTCTGCAAAAGAATTTCTACCTCTGTACCTATCCTTTGACAAATGCCTAGGGATAGGCGCGAATCCCTAAAAGTGAGGAGGGTTTTGACCAGATGTTTGTTATCTTCTGCATTTACGACCATAATTCCCTATCTTATTATATTGATAACATAATTTATTTCTTGCTGGGCAATTAGAACCACAAAACATACCACTATCTGGACATGATCCGTCAACTGCCTCATGTTGTTGCTGTTGCTGTTGATAAGGATTCTGTACTGTCGTTGACATGGACTGGCTGTATTGTTGTCCGTTATACACTTGATAATTTTGTGGACTGTAGTGTTGCTGAGGTACAAAGGCAGGTTGTTGTTGAATCACAGTTCCTTGTTGGTTGTTATGTCTTGGATTGTTGTACCGGATTTTGTTTTGTGGAGGCCGATTTGGTCTTGTCCATATCGAAGTATGGAGTCTTCTAATTTCTTCTAAAGGACTTTGCATTTTGGTTTCTAATATAGCTGCAATTGTGTCGGCAGTAATGGAGGATGCTGGTGCTAGTTGCTCTAATTTTTCTGCGTTTTCTGCAATTTCTCTTAATTGGTCTAATGTTGTAGGCTTTGGGAAAGTGTTATGGACTGTTTTCCCTATCTCCCCTCTAAAACCTTGTATGGCAATCCCTATTTTTATATTATCTGGAATGTCGTGTCCTATACTTTTTTCTTGTAAACGTGCCATGAATTCATCCACTCTTTCATTTTGGCCTTGCTTTAATTGTAGGATATTAACATCAAATAACCCTTGCGATTTTTCGAACCTTTTAAAAATTCATCCTTTCTGTGCTAATGAATTTTGTATAGTTTCAGTAAGTGTGGCAAACCATTGTTTTGGTATACCATCTACCATGAAAAAAAAGAAATGAATTGCACTGTAGTCTTTAGTTTTCTATGTTGTGTCATCTGTACTATTATTTGTCTGTTTGTCTTTTTATTTTTGGCCATGGCGTTGTCAGTTTGTTTTCGATCTGTGAGTTTGACTGTCCCTCTGGTATCTTTCGTCCCTCTTTTGCTGTTCATTCATTTTTTGTATGAGTGTCCATCGGATAAAATATCCCCACCATTGTGCTGCAGATGATTTTCTATCATAACCGTTTAAATTTATCCCTGACGGCATATTGACACTTACTTCTCTTATAACTTGTACTACGGCCGGTGTTGATGGTGTTGACGCAGTTGAATGAATGGATGCTGTTGTTGTGGTCACAGTTGTTAAAGTAAAATTATGAATTGCCAAAGACAAAATTTTAATATAACATAGTGAATAAGATTATAACACAACCTTGACTGCTGTACCCCTATTTTTGACATTTTTACCTATTATGTCTGTTTGTTTTGTTCACACATTGTTGTCAAAATAATGAAATTTTATGCGATTGTCATACAAGTGAGAGGTTTAGCTAGCTATAAAACCAGGTTTAATCCACCATTTTCTACATAAGGAAATGCCTGTACCAAGTCAGGAATATTCCAGTTGTTTTCCACTCGTTTGATGTGTTTGAGCTTTTGATTTTGTCATTTTATAAGGGACTTTCCGATTTGAATTTTCCTTGGAGTTCGGTATTTTTGTTATTTTACTTTTTTAAATATTTTATCTATAAATTCGAAATGGTAGGAATAGCCAGAAAAAAAACAATTGCAATACACAAATTTTGTAAATCTAAGGTTGCAACTCGCTCAGTCGCTTGCAAAGAATGGTTTAGACTGTTCTGTTCAAATGCGTTTTCTGCTTTCAAATGTTTTCATATTTCCTTTCCAAAGTTTCGTTCTAGGTCATACATAATTATGACCTATTCATTCTAAGGTTGAATTATATTATGTGTGCTTGTTCGTTTTATCGCTTTCTTTCAGTTTGTTGAAATTGTTTAACAGGCCACCGAATACTTTGTTCTGTTCATACATTATTTCATCTCATAAAATTACTGTTTTTCTTAAGCCCACAGGAGTGTTGTTCAGGATTAACAGTTTAACTTATGATGAATACTTTTATTATAATATAGGGTGGATATCCAATAGTAGAAGAAGAAGAAGAAGAAGGAAATTTCCTGTCCTGGTCCTGCAACCCCAACTTAAATCAAAGGTCGTCCCCTAATATATATCTTTACGTGCTCCGTAATTTTCTAAATGATTGCTATTTGTATCCATTTCTTTGTTATATAGATACAATCTATGATTTATTGATTTGTATACGTAGTTGTGTTCTTCAATGCATAGATGTAATGGCGTGGTCGACATGGTTCAATGCATAGATGTAATGGCGTGGTCGACATGGTTCAATGCACAGATGTAATGGCATGGTCAACATGGTTCAATGCATAGATGTAGCTAAGAACGCCACGAGGAGCCATCTTTAACTTGAGGTGTGGTGAGAGTTTTGCTCGTATTATAGGACTCACAGTGACTTTGAGACGAAGAAAAGCGATATAATAGCCGTTCCTTTGCTTTTGAACTTTTTATTGGCGTATAATGATTTTGTGTCATGAATTTACACATCACAGTTTTACTTTTCCTATGCGTGTGTCATTAATTAATAAACTAAGCACTTCTTTCAATTTTCTTGTGTGTGTAGTAATAAACTCTTTCTTTTCAACTGCTAAGATAACACATATCTTACGCATTGAAATTTGCATCTTATCTTTTTCTTTTGTAAATACTTCGCTTGCTTATTTGTATTATAAATATTTATTCAACGTTTATTGTTTTATTCTGTAATTCTATACTGACATTTGATTGATTTACTTCATTCACAAGACTAGGACTGCAAAAAGCACACTGAAAAACAAAATATGAGGTAAACATGCAGTAATTTGAAATTCGCTCATAACTTGAATGGAGGTAGGCAAAGAAGCAAATATCTATATAAAGGGACTTACTTTAAATAAATCTAACTTAAACAGCAGTATTTGTCCTTTTCTAGATTTAGACATTTCAAATTCTAAAGGGAAACTCCATACTAAAATTTACGACAAAAGAGATGATTTTTCATTCCATATTGTTAATTTTCCTTTTTTAGACGGCGATGTTCCTTTGGCTCCATCATATGGAGTTTATATATCCAAACTCGTATTCTGTGTTATATCTCGTCTCACTATTTTTAATATGTTCCACCTTTGATAAGTATTTAGTATGACGATAAATTTTCACTTCTGTACTCGTACTATGAACAACAAATTTATTTATTTTGTAAAAAAAATTTCCGAAATCCTAAAAACAAAATGATGATATTTAAATTTACCTGTGTACGTTGTTTTATCAAACGCCATTCTGACCAAGGTTAGAGTTGTATTTTTGACATTGTTTTACATGTCCTTCTTTTTTTATTAATATTATATTTATATTGTGTCATAGATCAAATTTATTCGTTTAGTGTATGTTTACTTGTGTTTGCTAATATGTCTTTTTGATCGAGTTAAGCCATTTCAATTGATATTTTATATTGTGTCTTTCTATGTTGCAATGTTACACTACTGTTTCAGGTTAGGGTGAAGGTTGGCGTCTGTTAAAACGTTTAAACCCGCTGCATTTGTTTGCATCTGTCCTAAGTTAGGAGCCTGTTGTTCAGTGGTTTTGTTTGTTGATGTGGTTCATAAGTGTTTCTCGTTTTTTTATATAGATTAGACCGTTGGTTTTCCTGTTTGAATTATTTTACACTTGTCATTTTGGGGCCCTTTATAGCTTGCTGTTTGGTGTGCGCCAAGACTCCGTGTTGAAGGCCGTACTTTGACCTATAATTGTTAACTTTTTACACATTGTGACTTGGATGGAGAGTTGTCTCATTGGCACTCATACCACATCTTCTTATTGCTATATAATATATGAATATCGCATTAGATTATTTGTTATAGTTTTCTCTTTATTTTTATTGTAAAAACGCGTCTTGCTTGAAAATGAAGTCCATCATTGAATACATTTATCCCCACATGTTTATATGCTTACTGTCTCAAATCGGAAACCTAGTTAATGTTGCTGCTTAGACCTGTCATGGTTACCCATTAATGAAATTAGTGTTCATGTCAGATCATTGATTGGTTTTTTTTTTCACATTCACTTGTAGTCTTTTGTTTTATTGGCCCAAGATTATTTAAAGTTGGGACAAATTATATAGACATTAGTCTATTGTTGCAGACAGTATGTTGACTAGCATTTATTGCACTTAAAAGCAACTAACATAAAAAAAAAAAACTCACAAGATTTTTAAAACTTGACATATATTATAGACACTAGTCTATTGTTGTAGACAGTATGTTGACTCTCATTTTGTGGTCCAACTTAAAACAACAAACACAATAAACTCCCGTAAAATCCTGCAGTGACACCAGATGCTTCGAAAGGATAACTATATATCTTGCAAGGAGCGATTTACTTTTTTTTATTTAGATAGAGGCTAACGAAGCAGTGTTTCTCAAACATTACCTATAAAGATATAAGCATAAGTATACTGATTGTCGATTGTTTATTTGATTACTATAAATAAATAGGTGTATATTGCATTAAAACTAAATACATATCAGCATCAAGCCCTGAAGTTATTACTACCAAACATATTACAAATCCTTCCCCTGTAATCAGTTTGGATTGAAGACTGAGGGTGCCCTATACCAAGAACTGCTCGAATAACTGGCGGCATACCTGTATATTGGTACCAATTAAACATTCCCGGTTCGGTCGTGTCTAAATTGCCGTTAGGATTATTCAGCTTAGCAAAATTAGTCCAATAAATTAAGATTTCGTCTGACAGTTGCATGTCAGGCATTGTAAAATTATATCCTAAATCCTTAATATTCTGGAATAAATAGGCAAGTTCTGAACCATGACACGCACTGATCGCGCAATGTGGAGAATTTCCACTTCCGGCTAAAAAATCCATATTCCGACCAAAAGCGTAAACCCACGTATTATTTATACGAGTCATGTCAGAAGCAAAGCTTCTTGCAGGACACGTATAAACAAAATCTGTGATAAACTGAGTTAACTCTCGCCTAGTATCGCCATTTGATCGTGGAGTGTATAAGGTATACGATAGTCTAGCTTGAGTGGGATTAAGTGTTGCTAGAATAGTGCGAAAAGCGACACTATTTAATGGCTCGAGATAGGTTTTAAAGACTATGTCGGCACCATCTGCTGTTGTTGTCCCTATGAGAAGGGGTATATCATGTACTCGGCCAAACCGGAAGCCAGCTTGAATATCACCTGCGACATCGTTTCCATCTACATGTGGACCCCATGGCCGTAATCGTTGTAACACGGTTCCAGAAGGTAAACTCGTTTTAACTTGAGCATCTAAAATATCCCATGGTGATTTTTTTCGTAAACATTCTATATCTGAACAACCTGCTTTTGTTGAGAAATTCTGTCCTTGTAACCTGGCTTGGTCTACAGTCTTAAGACGTAAACTAAAAGGTAGACTTTGAAGGATTGCATTTCGAAAGAGTCCTAAAGATTTTGGTGATGTCATATGTATTGCGACAGAAACTGCACCAGCGCCATGGCCAAAGAGAGTAACCTAAAATGATAAAACAGTAGAGTTCTGGTTGATTGTCGTCAGTTGTAACTCATTGATACAGAAGGCAGAATTATATGAATCAGGAGATCAATGAAATAACATAGTGACAATATAGTACTAGTAACCAATAGATGTGTTGGCTCGCTTGGTAACTCACCGATACAACAAAATTTTTAAAATTTTTGAAAATTGTAACTGATTGGAAATGTACTTAAAGTAAGAGGGACAAGCTGAAAAAATAAAAAGATAAAAACTAAAGGTTGAAACTATCGAACGACTTGAAAATCAGCATACATTGCTTTTCATTATCCTAATTATCTATGCAATTTCCTCGTCGATCAACATTTTTTTTCTTATTTGCCATTTCATTATTATACGTAGAAACTGTTGTCATTTATGTAAACTACTTTACACACTTTGCATATTAATGCAAACAATTTTGAATGCTGACATTTTTAACTTACTGACGCAATTATCCGACGACTACCACGTGCACGTGTGTATGTTTTTAACACTTTTTAGTGGTGTTGGTGTTAGTTTTTGTACTTTGAAAAAAGAACTGTTGATATTATCTATTTCTTTAATTTTAAATAAACCATAGTTTTTATTTTTGGCGAACAATTTGTGTTTGTTCCTTTTGTTGTTTCAACCTTTGTTTAAGAGATAACATACATTTCTTCTATCGCCTCCGAATCTGCCTATATTGTTTTGTACCCACTGTAACGCCAGTCTCTGGTCTGTTATACCGTAGTTGCCCGTCACTTCCTCCGTAACTAGAAATCCTAATACTCCTTTAAAAAGTAAAAATCATAATTTATTTTCAACTAGAAATCCTGACACTTCTTTAAAACAGAAATATGCCTAATATAGAATCGATTCCTCTGTAATTATAAGTCTGAATGACATTTCGCCTGTAACTAGAAATAAAAATGTAAATTCCTCTGCAACTATAAATCCGAATACTTCTTAACGATAAAGATATACAATTGTGATCAACGACTCTCCATAAACTATAGTACATATGGTAAATAAACAGTACAATACACTCTTTGTATTGAGTGCTTTAATCCATGACAGTACGTCAAGATAGGTCGAAGATATCAAAGGGACATTCAAAATCATAAGACGAAATAAACTGACAACGCCATTGGAAAAAATAAAAAGATCAAAAGACAAACAATAGTACACAAAACACAACATAGAAAACTAAAGACTGAGCAACACGAACCCCCACCAAAAACCCAGGGTGATCTCGAGTGCTCCGGAAGGGTAAGCAGATCCTGCTCTACATGTGGCACCGTCGTGGGTGAATATAACAGTACACCAAATAGATAAAAATAGAGAGCGTCGGGGAGACGGATACATATAAACATAAACCGTATCAAAAACTTTGGTTATCTTCCTTTGAACAACAAATGTTGTCATATACCATATGCGTGTAGCATTATACATACATTGTAATTGGTCCCCGATGCGTTGTCAGACATACAACTTTAATAGTTTATAATAAGCAATATAAATTTACACTATAAAATTGGAGGAGAACACTCAAAGAAACTATGCAAAAGGGATTTAATCACTGACAGGCCATGAATGGCATTCGTGAAATAATACAGTAATCACTGACAGACCATGAATGGCATTCGTGAAATAATACAGTTATCACTGACAGGCCATGAATGGCATTCGTGAAATAATACAGTAATCACTGACAGACCATGAATGGCATTCGTGAAATAATACAGTTATCACTGACAGGCCATGAATGGCATTCGTGAAATAATACAGTAATCACTGACAGACCATGAATGGCATTCGTGAAATAATACAGTCATCACTGACAGGCCATGAATGGCATTCGTGAAATAATACAGTAATCACTGAAAGGCTATGAATGGCATTCGTGAAATAAAATATACAAAGGATACCAGGGATTACAAAACTATTGGACAACGGTGCAGCATGTTACAACAGGCCACATCAACCGCCAACACCCGACTCTTCAGGTTACAACAGGCCACATCAACCGCCTACACCCGACTCTTCATGTTACAACAGGCATCATCAACCGCCAACACCCGACTCTTCAGGTTACAACAGGCCACATCAACCGCCAACACCCGACTCTTCATGGTTACAACAGGCCACATCAACCGCCTACACCCGACTCTTCATGTTACAACAGGCATCATCAACCGCCAACACCCGACTCTTCATGTTACAACAGGCCACATCAACCGCCTACACCCGACTCTTCATGGTTACAACAGGCCACCTCAACCGCCAACACCCGACTCTTCAGGTTACAACAGGCCACCTCAACCGCCAACACCCGACTCTTCAGGTTACAACAGACCACATCAACCGCCAACACCCGACTCTTCATCGTTACAACAGGCATCATCAACCGCCAACACCCGACTCTTCAGGCTACAACAGGCCACATCCAGGGCCGTAACTACATTGAGGCAAATGAGGCAAATGCCTCATGTTGGAAATTAAAAAAAAAATAAGTTGACACAAATGCTTGTCTTCACGGTGAGTGTCTTGCAAGAAGCAAGTTGTGTTCACCCTCTGACATCGCCCCTGTTTTTTCGGGATCCATGTTTCACATTTATTTTTAGTTTTCAGTGTTGATTGTTTGTCGTTATGTGTCTAATATCTGTTCCCAAGGTTGTCTTTTGTTCATTGGTTGCCTTTCTTTATGACTATTCTCCTAGTGTTGAATTACATTTGTAAATTAGTCATTTTGTTTTAAACTTGAGATTTATTATAATTCAGGACCTTTTGTCTAATTTTAAAAACTACTTTAAATTGTAAAAATATTTGAAATTAGCTCTCGCTTTTTTGTTCTATGTTCTATGTCGGCGTTAAGCGAACACCAATCAATCGACCTTGATGACTATGGCTTCAGTTGTCTAATATTCCTTGTTGTGAACGTTCATTCTCTGCTTTGCGTAGATTTAAGACTTGGGAAAGATCTGCAATGACCCGTGAACGGTGATGTGTGGTTTGGCAATGTTACATGCCCACCGATGTCCAGATAGTGTTTAAGAAAATGTTTTGAGAAGATACGATGCTACCGGAAATAGAAAAAATTGTCGTGTTTTCATGGAAAATTAAACTATATATTAAAGATTACAAAACTGGCTCTCTTTTCTGTAAATAAAACTAAAAAGCTGACATGGGTTAAATTTAGACAACCCAATCTCCCGGAATCAAATCATTTAAAAAGAAAATAATGTATTGTCATATGATCTTTTACATTGAAAGGCTAAACTTGCTTTAAGCCGTGTTCAGGCCCTAAAATTGAAAATAAAGGGATATGGAGTAAATGTGCATGGGACAAAATCGCACACAATACATAAAAAATACGAATTATCAATGAACAGGGCTTTTATTCCTGTTCTTCATCATGACAGTCGCTGGAGGGTCTTCAACAACGAACGAATCATTCATACCCTACAACAAGGTCTAGATGGCCCTAGCGTCGACTTAAGCGGTAATTAAAGTATTGTACTGTGAATAAATCTTAAAGTCACAAAAATATTACACCAAAGTCTTGACCTTATACAAGACCAGAACAGACAGATCCGGCATTAATCAGCCGGTATACATATTAAAACTGCACAAAAATGTAGCAATGAGGTCTAAGAACAGTTTCCCTTGTTGTAGGGTATGAATGATTCGTTCGTTGTTGAAGACCCTCCAGCGACTGTCATGATGAAGAACAGGAATAAAAGCCCTGTTCATTGATAATTCGTATTTTTTTATGTATTGTGTGCGATTTTGTCCCATGCACATTTACTCCATATCCCTTTATTTTCAATTTTAGGGCCTGAACACGGCTTAAAGCAAGTTTAGCCTTGCAATGTAAAAGATCATATGACAATACATTATTTTCTTTTTAAATGATTTGATTCCGGGAGATTGGGTTGTCTAAATTTAATCCATGTCAGCTTTTTAGTTTTATTTGCAGAAAAGAGAGCCAGTTTTGTATTCTTTAATATAAAGTTTAATTTTCCATGAAAACACGACAATTTTTTCTATTTCCGGTAGCATCGTATCTTCTCAAAACATTTTCTCAAACACTATCTGGACATCGGTGGGCATGTAACATTGCCAAACCACACATCACCGTTCACGGGTCATTGTAGATATTTCCCAAGTCTTAAATCTACGCAAAGCAGAGAATGAACGTTCACAACAAGGAATATTAGACAACTGAAGCCATAGTCATCAAGGTCGATTGATTGGTGTTCGCTTAACGCCGACATAGAACATAGAACAAAAAAGCGAGAGCTAATTTCAAATATTTTTACAATTTAAAGTAGTTTTTAAAATTAGACAAAAGGTCCTGAATTATAATAAATCTCAAGTTTAAAAGTTTAAAACAAAATGACTAATTTACAAATGTAATTCAACACTAGGAGAATAGTCATAAAGAAAAGCAACCAATGAACAAAAGACAACCTTGGGAACAGATATTAGACACATAACGACAAACAATCAACACTGAAAACTAAAAATAAATGTGAAACATGGATCCCGAAAAAACAGGGGCGATGTCAGAGGGTGAACACAACTTGCTTCTTGCAAGACACTCACCGTGAAACAATTTGATATGAAGACAAGCATTTGTGTCAACTTATTTTTTTTTTTAATTTCCAACATGAGGCATTTGCCTCATTTGCCTTAATGTAGTTACGGTCCTGTGAAATATCATGGTACAGCTACAGAAAGCACAAGCAAATCCACCGTATTGCCTTTCTAAACTATGTGTCGTTAAATCAAAACACACAGTAAATCAGTTCCAGTCAGATACGGCTGTACTTCAACAAGACAATCCGGGAATCATCTTCAACTATCAGAAATTGTCTTTTCTGTTTTACCTGAAAGATGGTAGTTTGGAAAGACAGATCAAAAAGAAAACAATTTGCATTTCCTGTGTACCTTATAAGAATGAAGGAAATACTCATAACCTTTGCTCAGGAAGAATGAAATGAAACCTTTTAACTTCCCGTTTCACTATAAAGATGATGTCCTCTCACTAAATAATTGAATGTTTTTTACTATGTTGATCACATCTATTCCATCAAACATCGGGTCAACAGATACAGTCAATGCTGTCTCATATCTATACTTACATCTAGAAATTAATACTGAGGGTCGGTCGTGAACAAAACTTTACGAAAAAATATGATTTCAGCTTCCAATTGTGAATTTTCCATGTCTACAACATTCCAGCAGCGCCTGCATATGGACTATATCTCCCAGTAGATACGATGTTTAGAGTCTGAGTTTCCTATCATGATTTCCTTGTTGCTAACAAGAAAGGTATTGCCCCAAGGATTCCTAACGGTCAAATTGAAATCGTCCCTTTTGAAGTTTTACGGCGGAAGTAATGAGTTTGTTGGTGGTTATGGAATAAAAACAACAGTAGTATACCGCTGTTCGAAACTTATAAATCGATAGAGACAAAAACAAATCCGGGTTACAAACTAAAACTGAGGGAAACGCATCAAATATAAGAGGAGAACAACGACACAACAAAAACACAACATTAAAATGTAACACACACAGAAACGAACTATAATATAACAATGGCCATTTTCCTGACTTGGTACAGGATATTTTAAGAAAAAAATGGTGGGTTGAACCTGGTTTTGTGGCATGCCAAACCTCCCGCTTAAATGGCAACGTCAAACACAACACCAAAACGACAACATCACATGACAGGACCACAATACAAATAAATGGGAGAACATATACATTGTAGGACAAAGAAACT